CTAATGGTCCTAATTTTTTTTTTTTTTTTTTTTTTTTTTACTATTGCAAAGTATCTCAAAGATTTCAAGGTTTAAATTCTAATAAAATAACTTCCATGGGTTATGGGAGTGAAAAGTCCTGTAGAAGTGTATACTAAATAAAGAGGGAATTCTGCAGCTGTTTAATGTAATAATAACTAACTTTATTACTCACATGTGATTCTTAGTCCAGGGCCCATGTAACCACTTAAATTAATATGTTGTGGGTGTGTGTGTTCAGTGCATACAGCTGTGTTATGTTTTTCAATGAGGAAGGACAAGTTACAAGCAGAAGCATTTGTGCAGCTTGTTCTCTCAGGGCCTTCCCTCCCCCTCTGCCTGAAGCAGCCCAGGTCAGCTGGGTATTCTTATTCTCTGTTCTCCTTCTCCAGTTAATACAACTGTCTCTGTTAGAAATTTGCTTGTGGCAATACTGCTACTTTATTTCAGCCATCAGCCTCACTAAATAAACTCTAAGAAATAGTGTTGGGGTGTCTTTCTCAAGATGCCAATACCGTCAGTGTGAGAATCCTCCAGAAATGATCACCAGCCACATGACCTGTCCTCCCCTCCAGCTTGGGGACCCTACTCCTCACTTTCCAGGCTGATTTGGTCTTTGAATATTTGAAATTCCATTCAGTAGGTACTTTCCTCAGTTCAGTGTTCACTGCTCTATATTCTACATAAACTCCACAGGGAAAAAAGATGTATTAATGGCACCTTTCCCAGTTTTTCATGGTATTACATACTTGGTTTTGTTTTTTGTTTTTTTTTATGTCTTCCTGGTCAATTGAATGGCAAATTTGAAATGAGGAAATCTAAACATAGGTTTAAATCAGACCCTTGAATTAAAAGTCAACAGACACTATAAGCCCATGCACCACCTAATGATGCTTCTTTCCACAAACCATGTACATGAAGGTGAGGGTCCCCTAAGATTTTATTACCAGGTAACAGCCTAGCCATGTGTGCTTGTACAAATGCATTCTATGTTTGCACAGTGATGAAATCATTGAACGATGGGCTTCTTTAAAATATTTAGTCTCGTGAGAATAGAAAAATTTTAAATGTTAATTTTCTTTTTTCTTTTGTCATTCTGAAAATTGAATACAAGACTTTCACACTGAGCATATCCTTGGTCTTTTTTATCTTTATTTTTTAAAATTCTGAGGTAAGGTCTCCATAAATCACTACACTGCACAGGCTGGGCTCGAATTTGTGATCCTCCTGCGTTCACTTCCCAAAGTGCTAGGCTTACAAGCATACATCACTGCATCCAGCTACATGTCTTATTCTAATATTTTATAGCAAAGTTTAGAAAGCTTAATGAAGTATTTCTACCTTAAAAATGTTATTCTTGAGCCTACATTAAATGGTTGATGTCATCAGCAATATACAACTAACCCTGCTCCCCATAGGTACTTTCTGATGATCCTATTTTTATTGACAACAAAAGGAGAAAGTGGAAACCAGTACTCTTTTGAGAAGTCTGGAGCTGGAAAGTCAGTCATCCAAATTTCCTTCAGCAAGATCTTTATCTCATAACACTGGCCTCTAATCTCCCAATGGTTCTGCCATGATTTATTTGAAGAGTTGAAAAGCCGACTGTTAATTCAGTTTTATATTTGCTTTAACCTCATATTATAAGCATTTTTCCATTTCACTGATAATTCTTTAGAAAAAATTGTTTCAATTATCACATAGTATTCCATTATGTACACATTGTTTTTGTTGTTGTTTTGAATTTAAAAGTTTGTAATTGTGGTAAAATAGGCATAACTTGAAATTTACCATATTAACCATTTTTTTGTTTTTTTAACTTTATTTTGTATTTGTACAAATTGGTTGTACATATTGATCACATTCATCACAGGAAATCTGTAGCTGTACATAATAAATCTTGATTCTTCTCATTTTTCCCATTCCCCTCCCTTCAATCCTTCTTTGCCTCTCCATTTAAAAAAGCTTTGTTTCCATTTTTTTCCTTTTCCCTTTCTTCCTTTCTCTCCCCTTCCTCCCTTGTTAACTTGCCCATTGAAACATTTTCTTCCTATTTTACAATATCTATCCTCCAGTATGCTCCTTATTTATACTTTGGGTTTCTCACACAAGAGAAACAATGCGAAATTTTGACTTGTTTGTCCAATTTATTCCACTTAAGATTATGGTCTTGAAGTACATCCATTATCCTACAAATGACTCAATCTTATACTTCCTTATGGTAGAGTAGTACTCCATTACATTTAAATACCATATTTTCTTTTATCTATTCATCTGTTGATGGGTGTATGGGCTGTTTCCAATATTTAGCTATTATTATAAATTGTACTGCTATAAACATGGGTATGCATATATCGCTGTGGTATGCTTTTAGCTCTTTCAGGAAATTACCTAGGAGGGGAAATGCAGGTCAAATGGAACCTCTACTTTAGTATTTTGCGGAATCTCCATGCTAATTTCCATAGTGGTTGCACCATTTTACACTCCCACCAACAATGGAGAAGGGTTCCTTTTCTCCACAGACTCACCAGCATTTGCTATTGGTTGATTTCTTGATAACCATTTTTTCTGGAGTGATATGGAATCTGTGTGGTTTTAATTAGCATTTCTTGAATGATCGGTGATGTTGAGCATTTTTTCATATATTTATTTGCTGGTTGTAGTTCTTCATCTGAGAAATGTCTATTCACTTCAGATACCCATTTTTGAGTTCTTTATATATTCTAGATGTTAGTTCTTCATCTGAGGAGTTCCTGGTAAAATTTTTTTCTCATTCTGTGTGTCGTCTCTTCACTCTATTGGTAGTTTCTTTTGCTGTGCAAACACTTTTGTTAATTTGGTGTGATCCAAGTTGCTGATTCTTTGTAATAGTTCCTGTGTGATCAGGGGTTTTGTTCATAAAGTTTTTTCCTACACCTATGTCTTCAAGAGTTCTACCTATTCTATCTTCCAGCAGATTTAGTGCTTTTTGTTTTAAAATTTAGACCTTTGACCCATTTTGATTTTAGTTTATTACGTGGTGAGAGATATGGGTCTAGATTTAATCTTCAGCATGTAGAAAGCCAGTTTTCCCCCCACACCATTTATTAAAGAGGCTATCTTTCTTCCAGTGAAGAAGTTTGGCCTCTTTGTCAAAGACAAGGTAGCTGATTGTGTTTGGAGTTGTTTCTGCTTCTTCTAATCTGTTCCACTGATCCTCAGTTTCATTTTTGCCAGTACCATACTGTTTTTATTATGGTAGCTTTGTAATAACTTCAAATCAGGGATTATTGTTATTCCAGGTCTCTTCTTGTTCCATACAAATTTTAGGATTGTTTTCTCTAGTTTGGTGAGATGTGCTTTGTTATTTTCATTGGGATTGTACTAGATCTGTGTAACAATTTTGGAAGTATGGTCAGTCTCACTATTTGATTCTACCTATCCAAGAACAGAGGATATCTTTCCATTTTTTGATATCCTCTTTGATCTTTTTCAGACTAAGGTAGTTTTCAATGTATAAGCCTTCTACTTCCTTCATTAAATTGATTCCTAAGTATTTCATTTTTTTGGATACTCTTTGAAAAGTGTTGAGTTATTCATGTACAGGAATGCTACTGATTTTTGAGTATTGACTTTGTATTCTACTGCCCTGCCAAATGTGGTTATTAAATCTAGAAGTCTTTTGGTGGAGTTTTTGGGGTCTTCTATGGAGAGTATCATATCATCAGCAAATAATTATAATTTTACTTCTTCCTTTCCTATCCATATTTCTTTTATTTCATTATCTTATTTAATTCCTCTGGCTAATGTTTCCATAACTATATTGAACAGGAGTAGTGATAGTGGGCATCCTTCCCTTGTTCCTGATTTTAAATAGAAAGCCTTCTGGTTTTGTCCATTTAGTATGATGTTGGCTGTTGGTTTGTCATATATGGCTTTTATCAGATTGAGATAAAGACCTTCTATTCTAATTTTCTGTAGAGTTATTATTATAAATGGATTTGGGTTTTGTTAAATGCTTTTTCTGGGTCTATGGATATGATCATGTGGTTTTTGTCCTTGGTTCTGTTAATACGGTATATTACACTTATTGATTTGTGCAGGTTGAACCTTCCCTGCATTCCTGGGATGAATCCTACTTGGTCATGGTATATAATTTTTAGATGATTTGCTTCATTCTGTTTGCTACTATCCTATTGCTTCATTCTGTTTGCTACTATCCTATTGAAGATTTTTGCATCTACATTCATTAAGGAAATTGGCCTATAGTTCTCTCTTGTGGCTGCATGCTTCTCTAGTTTTGGTATTAGGTAATGCTTGCTTCAAGGAATAACTTAGGGAGTATTGCTTCCATTTCAATTCCATTAAAGAGTTCTAGAGTAGTAGTATTAGATCTTCTCTAAAGTTCTTGTAGAATTCAGCATTGAATCCATCAGGACCTGGGCTTTTCTTTGTTGGCATTTTTTTATTACTTTTTAAATTTCATTGACAATTATTGGGGTATTTAGAATTTTTACATCTTTTGATTCAGCTTTGGTAATTCATATATATCTAAGAATCTGTCCACTTCTGTGTTCTTTTATCTTATTAGAGTACAGGTTCCCAAAGTAAGTAATTGATGATCTTCTAGTTTTCTGCAGAATTTGTTGTGATTTCACTCTTTTCATTCCTCAACGTATGGACTTGAGTCTTTTCTTTCCCTTTTTTGATAAGGTTGGTCAGGAGTTTGTCAATTTTATTTACTATTTTAAAAAATCAACCCTACAATTCAT